CACATATTCAGCCCTCGTTCCCACCTCACCCATCTTTCGATCGCGTTGACCCACGTACGGTTGTTACTCCTCCTCGTCGGGTTGCACTGCGCAAGGGGTCCGGGGCGTTGGGTGAGTGTTGGCCTTTCGGGCGTGACCAATAGTCGCAACTGGCCCGTCGAGTCGTGGCCGCAGCCGGCGGACGTTGTGAACATTATCAAGGGTTGCACGCAGTGTGCTCGCCTCAAACTGCCACCTGTAAAGTGCTGCCCGCCCTTGCAGTCAATTAAGGTGTTCCGCAATAATGAGCTTGTGGCACTGGATATATTGGGCCCCTTCCCCACTACGGCCCAGGGAAACAAGTACTTATTTGTGGGTGTAGAATATTTTTCATGCTGGCCGGTTGCTTGGCCGCTTCTGAATCAGACGGCTATCAGTATTGCTGAGGCGTTCCTACACGGGTATGTGCTGGACAAGGGGGCCCCGGAAAGCCTCCTTACTGACCAAGGGAAAAAAAATTCCGGCAGGCTACTGAAGGATGTGTGCGACCTTTTGGGCACCGAGAAGGTTCGCACCTCGCCCTATCATCCACAAACAGATGGGATGGTGGAAAGGCTCAATAGTTGCGATGTTGAGCCAGCAGGTCGATGAGTCTCAAAGAGATTGGGATCTACGCATCCCTGGCGTGCTGGCGGCCTACAGAATGGCCCCCCATATTTCCACTGGTTACTCGCCTTTCTTCCTAATGTACGGCCGGGAACCTAACCCCCCCATTGACGTTCAACTTAAAGTGGGCCCTACTAAGGCTAAGGTGGCCATCTCTGACCCTATGCGGTTCACCCTTCGACGCGTCTCAGAGGTGCGCGAGGCCTCCAGAGCACTTTCAGCCGTACGGCAGCTGGTCAATGAACGATTGAGGGGTCGTCGTGTATCGGGAAAGCAGTGGGCTCCTGGTGACAAGGCTTGGCTGCACTGTCCCCAAGTGCCTATCGGCACATCCCCCAAGCTGTACCAGCCCTGGCGAGGTCCGGTCGAGGTGGTGCAAGCCGACCGGCCTCAATGTGTTAAGATTCGGTTCAGCCGCCGGACTTGGTTTATACACTTAAACCGTTTGTGCAACCCTGCCGCGTTCACTCATCCCCAATCCCCGAGGGCTGTATGTCTGGTGTGCCCGGCAAGCTGAGGGGTGCGCCGGTTGAGGTGCTCCCTCAGGGTGGTTCTGTGGTCCCACCTGCAGGATCGGAGTTCGTGATCCCCTCGGCACTGCCGGGGGCTGCTCCTCCGGACACCCCGCTCGATGCGGAGCGGCTGTCGACCGGCCACCCACCGTCCACACCGCCGCCCCCAACGGGGCGGCCGCGGTCGCCCGCCGGCAGCGACGCTACCCCCGGACCTTCTGGGGTGCTTAGGCCCACCTCGCCTGAGGGCCCGGTCACGCGGACTCGCTCAAGGACCACACGGTTCAAATAACACTTTCATACATTGTGGATTCTTCTGCGGATCTTCATTGTTACAAATGCGTGTTGTTTTCTTCCCCCACAGGGTTGCCGCTGTGGTTCATTGGGTTGCAAGTGCGGGGGGGGGGGGGGGGGGGGGGGGCCCGAGGTTGGAGTGTTGCTGGTTTCCCGTTTCTGTTTTTTTGGTACTGATGCTTGTTAGTTTTTCTTGTTATTTTCGTATTTTCGTTCAGGGTTTCCGAGTTATACATATGTTCTCGCGTTATTGTCGGACGGCGGTTATTTATTAACATTGTTGTTGGGAGGCACACAGTATGTTTTTACTGTATTATCACAGCCCGGACGGCTGTATTTTTACATGGGGGGGGGGTGATCTAGTGACTTGTAACGTCATTCCGTGTGGGCCTACACACACACATGCATGACGTCACTACGTGGGGGGAACGTCACTACCGTGTGTGTCTACACACACACACATGACGTCACTACGGGTACATGTGAGAATGACGTCACGGCCGGGTCAGGGGGTCTGGAGGACGTGGGTCAGTACCGCGGGGGTTGTGTGAGGCCGTGGCACTCTGATTGAACCCGACTGGACATGTGACCGGATCAAGGTAGGGGCCGGGGGCCCCGGGGGCACCTTGGGGGCCACGTGGACAGAAGAAGAGCCTTCTCAAGAGTTCTCGAAGGTGGGCGTGGCTGGGGTGTGGCCTGGACACGCCGAGGCGCATATAAGCGGGCACCGCACCTGGTGCGGGGCTGCTTGGGTCCACGATGAAGACGCCTCATGAAGAGAAGAGTCAAGCCTCAAGTCAGCGTGGCCAAGCAGTAGCCCTCCTGGCTTGGTCACGCTAGTCGTATCAGAGTGTCAGTGTTAGCGAGTGTCAGTGTGTGTTAGCGAGGATAGGTTGGTGTTCACCACTCTATGTGCAGTGTTGTCACATGTTGAGTAATAAATCGTGTTGCCTCCCTAATTCAGTGTGTGCGCCTCTATCGAACCATTTCACGTGTATTGCATTGTTAACAACCATCTCAAATTGTACGTGCGCTCAATTGACAGACTGAAACATTACCTTACATTCTGGCCTTATAGAAGTGAAACCTTTCGGAATGTAGATTTTATTTTTAGAAACACTGGTACTACATCTCAGCTTTAAGGATACTGATGCAAGTACTTCTAAGTCAGTGATGCATATGAAACATCCCCAAGTCATCCTTGCAAATGAGACTCTTTGTCTCTTGAGTTCTCATCAGGTTACACAAATGAAACTTCAAACTTATTCCTTCTTTAAAAGTGGTACTATTACAAATGTTACACCACTTGTGCAACACACATCCAAGCACACAGCATAGCATATTTCCATTCCATAAACCTGAACAGACAATAGAGGGACCCGTGTTACATTTACGAAGTATACAGGTGGCAAATAATATCTTTACTCATGACATATATTATTAGATCCTGTACATAAGGACATTTGTGGTTTAGCCTAAGTCACACAGCTACCAAAGGTATGTACTGTTAAGGTATTTCACTTCCCTTTCCACACATGATACTGTCATTTCAAATCCATAACTGCAGAGGGTTTATTGGTAGCGCTTACATCCAAGACAAGGGCCGCGAAATACAAATAGATCCCAAAAGATGTTTTGTAGATCTCATAACCGAGCTGGCCGGACACATGGCTGGTGCTGAGTTGGACCAAGAGATTCGCTTAATAATGTGAATAAAACACGATGCATCCCGGAGATTCTTGTAAAAAATATATATATACGTGTGTTTGCATTTTTTTCTTTATTAAAGAATGTAAAAAAAACAGGACACTCATTTTGACGCATTTTGTTTTAAATATTACACCGCTATGGATGTTTAACAATGGACAACTAAGCTTTTATGTTTGTTACATTAGCGCATTACATGCAATGTGGCAGGACAAGATATAAACATGTATTCGACACACACACTCCAGGAATCTAAATGAATAAAGTAGCGCAACCTGAATTTAAAAAGAAAACTGCTTGGGTCATTTTTTTTATTTAAAGCTTTCGTGACTGCAGTAATTCATATTCTTAGCTCTTTCGGTAAAGTCACGTTGAAGGGAAACAATAAAATAATAAAATATATATCAAACAATAAAAATTCTCACGACGTTTCGACCATAACACAAACGGTCGTCATCAGGTGTGAAAAAACCAACGGCAAATGTTTCTTGCCGTTGGTTTTTTCACACCTGATGACGACCGTTTGTGCTTGGGTCATTCCATGGTTAAATCGGGGTAAATGTTGGTCGTAGATTTGTGGTGAATCGCGGAGCCGGTTGAGATGCACCACAATGTCACACGAGGCTTTAGACTTTATAGCAACAAGGGCACACGCACACACACGATGGCCATATGGCCTCGGAGCTTTCTTACAGACAAGGTCAGGCTGTTAATAAACAAAAACACACCACCCCAATATAAACCAAGCCACGGTTGCCATAAAAAAAGCAATCTGGCCGTCACATTGCCAATGACGATGTTTTTTGTAGATTGTTGTTTGTTACCTTCTCTCAACCGAGAGTCTCAAGTAAACATTGCAGGGCATTTAAGAATAACATAATTGAAACCCTGCGGGGAGTTTAAAATTAAGAGGTGGAACTTCTGATCGGCCACAAAGAGGCAAACGTGTAAGTACAGTCCTGTAATTCCCATTTACATGTAACATTGGGAAATAGTGTAAAAAAAAATTCAGTTCTACCACAGCATCATACAACTTGCCAGCCTACAATGTTGCGTTGTATTGCCTACATATTTATTAATGATAATGATCCCACCGTGTGTAGCCTGTAACAGAGTGTTGGGGCAAGTGCTGTTAGCGAGCACCTGATGAAGGCCGGCACGGGGGTGACCAGCACCACGCCCGGCCGCCTTTGTCTCCCTAGCAGCGATGTTTTTACACGCCGCACAAGATACTCATTTGAGGCTGAGTCGACCTAGTGGAGGCCCAGGACCGGTTTTAGATAATCGTAACTGGGTGTTGGCCTTCTTTGGTTCTTTCGGTAAAGTCACGTAGAATGAGAATAAAACAATAAAATAACACAATAAAATTCTCACGACGTTTCGGCCACAACGCAAGCGGCCGTCTTCAGGTGAAAGGTACAGACCTGTCGGGACGACAGAGCTTCAATGTACCTTTCACCTGAAGACGGCCGCGTGCGTTGTGGCCGAAACGTCGTGAGAATTTTATTGTGTTATTTTATTATTTTATTCTCATTCTACGTGACTTTACCGAAAGAACCAAAGAAGATGAATCCTTGCAGTCACGAAAGCTTCAAATCGAAATGGGTGTTGGCCGTGAGCGGGAATCGAACCCGGGTGGGCAAGGTTCGTAGTTGCGCTAACCGCTACACCGCCGCTATTAATACACTCAAGGTGGGGGGGAGGTAGGGGGTGGGGCCTTATTCGGCAAGGCCTCTCGCCAAATTTACGTCCCACCGCACGTCACCACCCACCCCCTCCCCCCAGCGTTCAGGGGCGGGTTTTTACGCATGCGCACTGACGCAACGCGCGGCGGATTTGACGGTACTTCCGTTTGGCGGCGGGGAGTGGGGGGTGGCCAATGGGAGGGTTGCCGGATTTGGCAAAGTCGTCATGAGGAAGACGGCGGGCGCCGCGTTGATGTTTACATGTTGAGCGGTTCGCGGGTTGGTCGGTCGGCGGTCCTTGGCGTTCCAGGTACCCCCACTTTGCGTTTACAACAACGATTGCTACATTTATTATCGAACGCGCTCGCTCCTTTACGCTTTTAGTAGGTATTTTTTTTTAAACACGCGCGTACGTACGGGTTTTGTAAAAAAAAAATCGTCAGCGGCGGTAGATGTCCGTTCAAGATGCGCGCGCAGAGGGGCTGCGCCTCGAGTTAAAGACGCAATGAATGTATGTATGGTTGGTCGTGTGTGATTTGATAAGGTTTTACACGATAGTTGGGGGTAGGGGGGGGGCTTTATGTTTACCTCAATGTTTGGCGTCGCTTATTTAGCGTTCGCCTATGATGAGCGACTTAAAAGAGTTGGAGTTTAAGTTGGATGTGGCCAGGGTTGGGACCGCGTTATCCGAGACAACCAACGCCTCCCGGTTACCGAGATGTATTGTTATTGATATCCCGTCGATAGTTAAGAGACGATTGACGCTGTGTGCCTGTGAGAAGTTAAGAGTGGTGGTATTCCTATGGGTAGGGGTGGTAGGTCACGTTTCACCGTGTGAATGTTGGCTCAGGGTCCCATCTCACCCATGAGCTGGGAGGCAAGTCGTACTTTTAATAACTCGTTATATATTTCATGGCCTTTTCGAGTGTTGCATTATTCCCCGCTCGTCTTTTGTTTTTCTCTTCGGTTACTTCCAAAAGGACACAAATAACGATGTCCCATTAATAATAGGATTTTCCCCCTCTTTTTGGCAACAAAACTGAAACCGTTTTTTACTAAGATTCGTGTCTGCATTAACCACAATACCTGCAGTCAAAATTCAAACAAAAAAAACATACTATGATAATATATGATGCATTGTCCTTGAAACTGATTGGTCCACACCAAGGGACGGCTTTCTTTTGAGCCACTCTTAACTTCTCACACAAAAAGTGGTAATGATGTAGATGTTGCAGCACTTTAGGCTATTTCCCCCAGACTCTTAAGCAGGACTATCCCTGCTTAAGGAGCCTTGAGGCTACGCAGATGTTTTCTGATAATGATCGACATTATTTTATTTATGCACATGTGCTTAATAACTTTCTCGATACTGTATAATACTCTATGATGCAGTATCTTGAATGTAAGTGTCTCCACATTGCGATGTGGCTTAATGGGTATTACTATTGGTGATGCTGCGTTGGCAGTGGGTGCACGAACACAAAATAAAATAATCTGCCACGGCCCTTCTTGCGAGCACTTAAACAGAGGTCTGAAGAGGTAGAGAGAGAGTCAATGGCACTTAATATCACCATGTGACCTGATGGGAATTACATTTAAAATGTTTTCTTATACCAGCGTTTTTTTTTAATGGGCATATGAAGTTACGTAATAGTGGCCATTGAGTAACAGCAGACAAATCCTAAAAATAATCCAAAGTATTCAATTTAAATAACAAAACATGTTTTAGAACACTTTGATGGGACTATACATAATGTTGGGGGGGGTGTTCTCCTCAGGACAAACTAGATGCAAACAGGGCACAATTACAATTTCAAAAGAAGGAATTTGACTACCTTGCATTTCTGAGGCAGAGAAGTGGGATGGGGTGGGGGGTCCTACAATTCAACTAACTCCTCTGCCCAACTACTGTACTATTATAATGAAAGGTTTGACTGCCACATTTTTGGGGCAAGCTATCGGGTGATAGCCTTCGTGAATAGAAAATAATTAACTTTTAAAACTCAACACACTCGTCGAACTTTTGAAACTAGAATTTGAAAAATGAAACTAGCTAGGGATGAAGTTTGTCAAGCACCCAATAACACAGTAATGTTTTCAGTGAAGATGAGGCGTTCATTTCGTGCTGCCAGCTGAACTGTACTCAGTTTATATAAAGAAGGGACGAATGGTATGTCAATCAATTGGTAAAGACATCCAGTTATGTTTTCATGCCCTCGGTTCGCATGTTGACGAATGTTCCTTTTCCTAAAAGTTTTCACGTGTGTGCCAATGTCTCCATCGCCAGCTGGTCAATTCGTCAAGGGCAGCTGTTAAGTCAACATGCCAATTTGGCTCGCGGAGTTTATATCTTAGCAGTCATATCGCTATTTGTGATTCTTTGGGGTCTGTAACATAAGCGCACCACCTGTTGATGCTGTATCACTTGGTGGGAAGTCTGCATGAGCATCAACATTGTGCTGGTTTGAGCATTCTGAGCTTTAACTTTTTAAATGTTAAACACAGTGTATGTAAATGCGTGTTTAATTATTTGTGCCATTGTACCGCGTGTGGTGATAATTAAAATATTTAAATTCGGTATGTAAGTGTATTCTATATTTGTCTTCAACTTTCTACCACGTCTGAACAGTAAATTAAAAACGTGAAATGTCTTTTTTGGTATTGGTATTTTTAAAAATATACAATTATAATTTTGTTCAAGTTATTATAACGTAGGTTATGCTTAAACTTAATGTTGCAAAGAGAACTATAAATGTATGTACATTAACCTGCCAATGAATGCTACTGGGACACTTGTGTTTTTGGCCTGCAGTGTTTTGAGTGAATTAGTGCATATAAATAAATCTCTGTGCACGTTCAAATTACTTTTCAAAAGCAGCCAATTCAGTTTGACTAATTTAGTCCATTGAGAGCTCACCGAGGTAAAAAGTACCTGGATGAGCATAGCTACACCAGGGTAGTAAAACATGTTTTTGCTTATGAGCAATTTGCTAAGTTGTAATTGGGGGTGCAGTACTGGGAAAACCACATCACGTGGTATTTAATGTCCCATACACTATGTAGACTGTACTTTGGTAATTCACAATTCGAAATTACCAGCCCAATGTGGCCATCAACATGTTGGTTCTGTATAACTTGGCCAATTCTGTACACAGGCTGTACAACCCGGCTCACTGGAATGGTTTGGCGTATGATGTTCAAAATACTACGATAGTGGTTTGTAAAAAGCGTGTCAGCATGATGCAATTCTCACTTGGGATTTAGAGCTTTGCTTTATGGGTATGGCTTGTTGACTGTTCCTGAAACATGTTTTTTTCCTGGTGCACCTTTCCACGTTAAGAGGATTCCTATCAGTGCGCTGAGGATTATGCAGCCTTGTGTTCCATTTTACAACTTCACTCGGATACGGGGTCAGAGGTCTGCATTGTGTGCTTTATTTTAAAAGTATTTTGCCACAAAAGAGCAAAACTCACTGTGAGTTCATTGTTTCTGTTTCATATGTAATTAGCCTTTTGCCCGTCGTCCTCGGACGGAGGCTGTACTATTTACGATAAAATTGAGCAGAGAGTATTTGTATCTTGTGTAAATTTAATCTTGCACAAAAGAATGTCATCAAACACTCCACTGCATTTCACTGTAGTACTGTATTAATGGCAGTGATGCACAAACTATGTCATAAAATTCTAGATTTGAAGTTTTCGTGACTGCAAGGATCCATACTCTTTGGTTCTATGTTTTATTTTTTACCTACGTGACTTTACCGAATAGAACCAAAGAGTATGTCATAAAAACCTCACTTCATGTCACTGTAGCACTGTATTTAACTGACCTTCAATTAGCCTTTTGCCCATCCTAGGACAGAAGCTGTACTATTAAAGATGTACATTTACGTTTTCTTGTGTGATTGTACGTATTTTTAGGAATTGTTGCACGTAAATAAGTGTTTCTTAACTTAAAAAATGAAACCTCGGTATACGATATTTTGTGTTAATCTCTTGTGCTGTATTAATGGCAGTGATTCTTGCACGAAACTACGTCATAAAACGCCTCACTTCATGTCACTAGCACTGCATTGAACTCGCCTTCACTTAGTCCGAAATCACTGCTCTGATACTTCATTTTCTTGTGCTTTCGCTCGCTGGGGTTGTAATCAATTTGAATTCGATACAATGTTTGGAAAATCATGGAGAAATGTATATATTTTATCACAATTTAGAAGCAAAAATTTGACTTACCTTTTGTTTCAAGTGCTGAAGAAATAAATAAAGATACCAAATGCACTTTGTTGCTGCGTAGAATTATTTATTTGATTAACTGTCAATAAAGAAACTTCAAATTTAAAGCGAATTTGCATTAAAAAAATCTTTCCGGGGACCGGGGGGCCCTCTTTTGCAGTGGCGTCACGTGCGGATGTAGCGCTGTGATGCGTAGATTTATTTTTGACCGTCACTTTCTGTAAAGAAACATAATATTTGAAGTGACTTTGCGAAACAAAATCTTTCCACTCGACCTTCTTCCGCGTGAGTGTAAAAATCCACCCGCTCATGATTATTTTATTAATGAGGGGGGGGGGGAGGTGCGGCATGTGGAGTGACGTCACGCGCGTTACACACATTTCTAGGTTATTATAGTAGTAATTAGGTGAGAGTCCAAGATACACTGCAAAAAGGATCTGGTTGACAAATATAGTGATTGAGCATCAGTTATTTTTTTATTTTTAAAGCGCAGGTAATTTTTAAATGTGTTGGTTGACCTACAACACCTGCACATGTTATGATTGGTTCTTGTGAATGCTGTTGTGGGATCTTTTATGTTCAGTTACCTTTTTACAACCTCAATTCCCACATATAACATGGCTAACTTCACATTTCCACATGAAATGAGAAATAGTTAATATACTTGTCATATCCCTCAATAATTACCAAGTAGCTACAGATATTTCAAATCATGTATGCCATTTGGCTCTATGATTGTAGCATACATTTCACAGTCAGAAGTTTGCAAATTAAAATACCAACTTGGGGCTAACCAATCTCAATCATCCATCCATGGTCCATGAAATTATCACCACTTTGTTACAAGTCATCAGTGGTCATCCTATATCTAGACTGTTTCCAGCCATAATGTTTTAATTTCTACCACCTACTCAAGTTTGCCTACATAGGTGAGCAATGATTCAACATTCATTGGATAATTTTGGCACCTAAACTTGAATCAAAGTTTAGTTGTTTGAGGCATGGTATAAGAGTCAGAAATATCCTTTCAGAATTCCAAAAGGCCCATCATGTCTCATCAGGCAAAGGTACAGCAAGGTGACACCACAGAACTATTTTAGGGGAATGGTACAGCAAGGTGAAGCTACAGGACTATTTTCAGGGAATGTGACAGCAACCTGACACCACAGGACTATTTGCAGATTCATTTTTATTTGGCCTGTTTTTCCACCACTACATGTTCTTTTATGTCCAGTAAAGAGTGGTTTTGTCCCATACGAGTGAAGAGGAGTCAGAGACTGGTTAAGCACTTCTTTATTCGTGAACCCACGGCAACATTTGTTAAAAAATCAACCCCAACACGCGTCTCAAAGCCCCTTTTAACCCCTCCATCTCCGCCCTCGTTTCAAATACACATCCTTGTCTCGCACGCCTGGTCCGGGTGACGTCAGTGTCCTTTAACCCTTGACTCCCCGTCTAGTGTATTCCCGTGTGTGTGATTGGTGCGTGTTATACTGAGTGCGGAGATTTCATGTCTGCACGGTGCGTGTGTGAGGGTGGCTCGTGAGGGTGGCTCGCATGCCCTTACACTAGTTCCAATGTAATAAATTATAGCCCTATTAGCCAAAGTAGATTAAAACAATTCTGGTTTTATGTCCAGTTCTAGAAACTGCACTTATACCATCAACCCAATACTGTACACCTGGAATTTGAATTTGTACCAATAATCTTAGTAGTACTGGCCCAGCTCTCTGGCAGACCTATTCTATTATTAGTCCCCGAATCCAGCAGTGCATTATTGACAAGATGCCTGTACATTTACATAATCAAACCCAGCCACCTCACTGAAGTAAAATGAAAGGTTATATTCCCTACTTGAACATGTGTTGGCTAATGCGCATCTCTGCAGGTGGCATGAAATGCATTGTGGGGTTTAACATCCTTTTGGGAAAGGCTGTATATGTTCTTTTGTGGTCTGCACCAGTTTTGGTCAGTATCTCGGAATCTTAAGTAGGTTTGAGCTTTCCACAAAGTGGTACTCTTTGTATTTCTTGTTTATTTTAGTCTGAAATTATCGTACATTTATGTATTGCATTGTTGCTGTAAAATAATAAAATATAACAACTTTAGGCCTTGGTAAATCCACTGCTGTATGCACTTCCACACCATGTCAGTCATTGGGGGGGGTTTTGTGAGTTGGTGAAGGATGAAGCCCATGACCGGTTTCAGATATCATTCCACTATGGACCCAAAACAATGGAGTCTCCATCCCCAGCAATATACAGTGTACACTATTTGTGTAAGACTTTGTATGGTTGTCAGTGTGAAACATCTAAAATGGCTATCTTTTGCAATGGCAGTGGTTGCATAATTCCTTTCTGGTGTTTCTTTGGAGAATTTTTGTGACGCGTATGCCAGTCCTATAGTCAAAAAACACTTAATTTGAAAATTAAACCGGGATATTTGATATATTTAACATGCAAATGTAATATACTATTTCAAGGTGTTTCAGGGTCCTACTTTCTACTGTAATAACTTGAAAATCTTTAGGCAAATGGCATGTTATCTACATTAATGTCCACTCATCTTTTCCTTATTTCCAAATCATTGAAGTGTTCAGAACATCTATCGATGTCAGCATTTTTGTCCACAGATAAGACTATGTATAGCAGAAAGCAATTTTGTAAGAATGTTGTTTATGATGGCGCAATTCATTTTTAATTCTTTGAGTTATTTCCTATTCACAGTACAATTCCTTCTAACCTTTTCAATGAGATGTTGTCATCTGTACATACACTGTGCCTATGATTTTATTTTGAAACTTGATTTGACCTTCACCTGCACAAAACAGTTGTATTTATTTCCAAGCGTCTCTCATAGTCATAATAATAAGTATTAAATTGACCATTGTAATTTATATTTTAGTCTTGTAGTGTTCATCGATAACTTTCACATGTATCACTTAAGCTCTGTACTCTGTTTATAGAGCCTTTACTGATGAAACAGAGTAACATTGGTCCAGTGCTCTGTTTATAGAGCCTTTACTGATGAAACAGAGTAACATTGGTCCAGTGTTTTCTGGTTTTGAATAAACAACTGGTAAACATTGGTACTTAAGGCCCATTGTTCAATGGAATGCATTTTATTTAACTTTAGTGCTTACCTGTCTATTTATCCATTACCTGGTTTCTACCAAGTTAGTACATAAAGACAATGGAAAATGCTGATTCACAAAGTCCTCAAGTCTGCGTGAATGCTACTGTGCTGTCCTCTTCAGGTGAGGGGCAGGCTGCTGCAGCGTTTGCGTCATGTCGGGCACAGATGAGTACAGAAATATCTCAGAAAAGGAGACCAAAAAAGTGAGTGCACTGCATGCAGTGTTGGCAAAAAAAAATCATGACTATAATCAAATTACCAGGGACAGATACAATGAATACTGTACACTTTGATAACACTTTGCTCATCATGTTACACCTAGAATGTACTGGTTGATTACCTTTATAATAACACATCAGACCCAGGGCCAATTATAATTACAGCAGCATTATTAGCGAAAATTACATTTCCAGTGTGATTACAATTCATTACATGTGACAACTATAATTGACCTCAGGTCTGAATTAAATTAATTCTCAAAAAAAGATTATCCCAAAATGTTTTTTTAATGACCATTGATCAGTTCCGGTCAGGGATTGACTGTTCTCTCTAGATTCAGTAAAATCAGTACCACTTGGTGGACTTGGTAGTGGTTGTCCTATTGAGAGACTGCTTTTGCAATAAGAATGTAACGTTTCCACTTTTGGCTTAGGGCTGCCAATGGATACAAGCACAACGCCTTGCTCGCTTTAGCAGGAAGACGCTTTGGCTTGTATGACATGATCTATGTTTATCCCTCATAGTCAGCAATTGTGGAAGTGACACAGCTGTTTCTTGCATAGGCACGTGCATATGTCTCGTGACATGACTGAAAACACAATTTGTACATAACCGGCAACAAAATCAATGTCATACGTTTGGTACCGAGCTGTATGAGGCCTGACTCTCACTCCCACCCGCCATTTTCAGACGATCAGCTACTGCGTGGCGGACACAGTGCGCAATCTCCAGTTGAGCCATGTCACGTCGGGCAAGCACGTGACGAGCGATGAGGACGATGCTAACAAGCTGTGCTGTGCCCTGGAGGCCACCTTCATGCACGGTCTCAAGGACAAGTACCTGCGCAGTGATGCCCCCTCAGACAAACGCGTCCGGAGGAATAACCGGACTTCCGGTGGACTCCCTGAACCGGTCTTTTGGAGCCTGCTCAAGTCCATCACGCACAGGTAGAGTCTTCTCCAGTGTAAAAGGAAGACCCTTCCCAAAACAAAATTACTGAGTGTTCTTTTTTATATTGCAATAGGATTTGATCCAATGAGACTGACAATGCAAGAATTGACTTATGACTTGACCAAGATTGACATACCACATGAAATTGAATGTTGTCTGATAAGCCAATAACATGGGAAATGTTGATATTTTTAACAAAAACCCCCCATTATTTTTGTTGTAAAAGATTATAGCCATAATTTAAAATCTATTATTGTATATGCCTTTTTCATTGGCATATCCAAACCAGAGCCATGCTGCTGACATCACATGCAACGTGCGATGTCGAGATGCATGTGGGTGATGCGGTGACACTCGTACAAAGTTTTACAAATTCGCATACAATCGCCTCTGACTTGTTAATCACCATTTTGTTCACTTTGTCAGGTGTGATGATATCACACTCGTAGAATAATCCATTGGCTTCACCCCTGGCTCTTAGCCCCGAGCAATATTCAAATGTCTCGTGAGGCCAGAGTTTGACGGTTTTGTTTCGGTTTGGCCCAGAAAATAGGCAGTGGAAAACCACCCATGAGGGCCCTGCTCTGGCTCAGATTTGCCAGGGAAATAAGTATTATTGGACTCCGGGTCCAGAAATTAATTATGAATCTATGGCCCTTAATGATCAGCACCAGGCACCGTTTCAAAAATTTCCAGTGGGGTTAGGCACTCTTGAATTACAAAAATCTCAGTTTTGAATTCACCATCCCATGACATTCAAACTAATATTAATTCTTCTCAAAGTTGGAATTTAGCTAAAGTCAAATTAGAACCAAATTTAACGTTTCAGTCATAGTGTACCTGCGCACTACCAAGGCTTTTTTTATTATGGAATGTCCAACACTAGTTTGAAGCTTCATTACTAACAATTATAATTTTCTACCGGTAAAAATCTCTTTCAAAACTTGTCTTCTCTTAAAAACACAACATATACAGTGAGGGAAAAAAGTATTTGATCCCCTGCTGATTTTGTACGTTTGCCCACTGACAAAGAAATGATCAGTCTATAATTTTAATGGTAGGTTTATTTGAACAGTGAGAGACAGAATAAAAACAACAAAATCCAGAAAAACGCATGTCAGAAATGTTATAAATTGATTTGCATTTTAATGAGGGAAAAAAGTATTTGACCCCCTCTCAATCAGAAAGATTTCTGGCCCCCAGGTGTCTTTTATACTGGTAACGAGCTGAGTTTAGGAGCACACTCTTAAAGGGAGTGCTCCTAATCTCAGCTTGTTACCTGTATAACAGACACCTGTCCACAGAGAAGGTGACAATAGTTGGTGCGATTATTCGCAAATGGAAGAAACACAAAAGAACTGTCAATCTCCCTCGGCCTGGGGCTCCATGCAAGATCTCACCTCGTGGAGTTGCAATGATCATGAGAACGGTGAGGTATCAGCCCAGAACTACACGGGAGGATCTTGTCAATGATCTCAAGGCAACTGGGACCATAGTCACCAAGAAAACAATTGGTAACACACTACGCCGTGAAGGACTGATATCCTGTAGCGCCCGCAAGGTCCCCCTGCTCAAAAAAGCACATATACATGCCCGTCTGAAGTTTGCCAATGAACATCTGAATGATTCAGAGGACAACTGGGTGAAAGTGTTGTGGTCAGATGAGACCAAAATGGAGCTCTTTTGCATCAACTCAACTCGCCGTGTTTGGAGGAGGAGGAATGCTTCATATGACCCCAAGAACACCATCCCCACCGTCAAACATGGAGGTGGAAACATTATGCTTTGGGGGTGTTTTTCTGCTAAGGGGACAGGACAACTTCACCGCATCAAAGGAACGATGGACGGGGCCATGTACCATCAAATCTTGGGTGAGAACCTCCTTTCCTCAGCCAGGGCATTGAAAATGGGTCGTGGATGGGTATTCCAGCATGACAGTGACCCAAAAACACACGGTCAAGGTAACAAAGGAGTGGCTCAAGAAGAAGCACATTAAGGTCCTGGAGTGGCCTAGCCAGTCTCCAGACCTTAATCCCATAGAAAATCTGTGGAGGGAGCTGAAGATTCGAGTTGCCAAACGTCAGCCTCGAAACCTTAATGACTTGGAGAAGATCTGCAAAGAGGAGTGGGACAAAATCCCTCCTGAGATGTGTGCAAACCTGGTGGCCAACTACAAGAAACGTTTGACCTCTGTGATTGCCAACAAGGGTTTTACCACCAAGTACTAAGTCATGTTTTGCAGAGGGGTCAAATACTTATTTCCCTCATTAAAATGCAAATCAATTTCTAACATTTTTTGACATGCGTTTTTCTGGATTTTGTTGTTGTTATTCTGTCTACCTACCATTAAAATTATAGACTGATCATTTCTTTGTCAGTGGGCAAACGTACAAAATCAGCAGGGGATCAAATACTTTTTTCCCTCACTGTACATAAATACAAAGCTATTTTTCGATTTCAAGCTTTCGTGACTGCAGGGATTCATCTACTTGGTTCTTTCGGTAAAATCACGTGGAAGGGAAATAATAAAAATAAAACAAAATAAAATTCTCACGACGTTTCGGCCATAACACAAGCAGCCGTCCTCAGGTGAAGAAACAGAGCTGTCCATTGGAGCTCCATTGGAGCGCTGTCTTTCCGACAGTTCTATTTCTTCACCTGAGGGACGGCTGCTTGTGTTGTGGCCGAAACGTCGTGAGAATTTTATTTTATTATGTTTTATTTTTATTATTTCCCTTCTACGTGACTTTACAAAGCCATTGTAAAAGCCCGGCGTTTCTTTTGTCCATTTGTCCGTCAACAAAATTATAAGAGTCTTGCACAATCCAGATTTGAAGTTTTCGTGACTGCAGGGATCCATACTCTTTGGTTCTCTCGGTAAAGTCACGTAGGTAGAAAATTATTTTATTTTTATACCTACGTGACTTTACTGAAAGTCTTGCAGAAGTCCAAAAATAATAGAAAGTGGGGGGTAAATAGTTGCTCTGAAAGATTTCCAAAAAATTTCCCCCCCCCCCTCAAAAAATATTTTTACCACACCCCTCCCTCGTAGGCTTGTGTACCTACACACCCTAGATACAATAGTGAGTAGTATCTAGTGACTATCCAGTAGTATCTGGCTCTACAGTAGTATCTACTGACTATACTATTATCTATTGACTCTATATCAGTATCTACTGACTCTGTAGTTGTCTAGTGACTGTATAGTAGTATCTACCGACTATAGTAGTAACTACTAACGCTATATCAGTATATGCTGACTCTATAGTCGTATTTCTGACTATAGTCGTATTTACTGACTGCAGCAGTGTATATGACTGTATTGGAATCTACTGGCTGTAATATTATCTACTGACTATAGTAGTATCTACCGACTCTATAGTAGTAACTACTGCCTGCAGTAGTATCTAATGACTATAGTGGTATCTACTAAATCTAAAGTAGCATCTATTGACTCTATAATGGTATCCACTGACTATAGTAATAACTACTAACTCTATAGTAGTATTTACTGACTATAGTAGTATCTACCAACCATACGGTAGTATCTACTGACTGTAGTAGTATCTACTCACTATATAGTAGTATCTACTGACTGCAATAATATCTACTGACTCAATAGTATTATCTGCCGACTCTAGTAGTATCAACCAACTCTGTAGTAGTTAACATGGTACATTATACTCTTTGGGTCTTTCGGTAAAGTCACGTAGATAGAAAAAATAATAAAATAAAAAATCACGACGTTTCGATTGCAACACGAGCAATCGTCTTCAGGTGATAAAATACAGCAGGCGAACTGCTGAGGCAGGATAAATATAGCGAGAGAGCTACTGCAGCAAGAGGTTATATAGGTTTGAGATGGGTACAACCCAATGGTAAGTGGGTGGGGCTAGAGATGGAATTTACAAGTAATATACCTCGGCCATTGTATTGCTGGAGATTAGCATGTCAATCTGTTAATGTAATCCCACGACTACGGTGCTGAAGAAGCCATTGTATTGCTAGAGATTAGAGATTACCATGTCAATGTGAGATGGCTCCCACAGCAGCGGCTATGTTAATGAGACACATTCAGCCTATTAAACAACGTGTATTGTTTGAGTCTCTCCATGTTAGTCTATGAAGTACAGTGCATAGAGGAAGATTTGAAATCCGTATTGGTAGCAAACTTCGATTTTTTATTTACACAAGCACATGTTCACTTTTCAAAGTCATGGATTAATATTGTTGTGGTGGATAAAAAAAATAGCTGCAATATTGTCACTCCGCTCATAATGACTGCTTTGGTGTGGGTTGGTGAAGGCATGGGGCGGAGGGATGTGCCTCACTGCAAAATATAATATCTCTTGTTGTTTTGCTTCCCACACAGCTCAGCCTTTTGGACTCCGTTTGTCTTTATAACTTCATATAACCTAGATTCGAAGCTTTCGTGACCGCAGGAATTACCTGAGAAGCCTATCTGTGCGACTCCGATCTCTTCATTTTGCCGTTTGAATCATACTTACTGACGAACTAGGCATGTTTCAACACAAGTGTTCTTTTAAATGTCGAAATGTCTACTGCACAAAGTGATTTGCCTCCTCATTTTGATGAACAACTTCTACATTGTAACTCCACTGTCTTCCCACGTAATTGCAACCTGCATTCATATAACATCTAATATTAATTGCTCACCCATTGTATCTGTGTTGCTAATAACAAATAGTCCCTCAAAAACCTCTTGGCAAAATAATCCAAATGAAACAGAAAAAAATAGTGAAAGGGTCACATGGAGATAACGGATCCGACAATAGCTATCGAGTTGATTTTGGTGTGTACTTTATCTAAAGCCTGTGTTATTCTTATGTCACCTGCAGGAATGTGCTGGCAGAATTGAACAGCCTAAAATTCATCAACACGGACATAGGCCGCTGCCGGGCCTGGTTACGCCTGGCACTGAATGACAGCCTAATAGAGTGCTACTTCACGTCGCTGCTGCGTGAGAAGGCCACCCTGGCTGATGCCTACCACCCAAGCGCCTTCCTCATGGACCCTGAGGAGACCACCATCTTCCTCTCCTACCTCCAGGTCGCACATTGATGCAACGTTGTGTCACGGTCCTGCCAGGTGGCACTGTGGTTAGATCGCCTGACTCGCAGTCCAAAGGTTCAAGTCCCGCTTGTGACTCGCCCATTTATCAACACTCCAGGGGCGGTAAAAGTTAATACCAATTTTTTTATTGGTGTCTCCTATGAAGACGATTACAATCCCGAAAATTGTGTAATTTTCAATGGATGGCTTAGAACTGCCAGTGGAATTGAGCATCACATTATTAAGAACAGATAGCACAGAGCATTATTTCCATGTTAATGCACAACGTATTTGCATGAATATAATAACATCCTTTATTTCAGTTTGAGCTTTCAGTTTCATTTATTAGGATTTACCCTATGAGCCATTCGGCTCTTGATTTAGGTTCCACCGCAACAAACAATAAATTTACAAGATACACCTAAAATTCATTGTACACAAATCTAAACATCACATATGTAAACAATAAAATCCTACAGAAAAAGCACAACCCGTCCATGCTGCGTACAAAAAGTGCAAAAAATTGCATCCCAATAATAATCATACAATAAAGATCAAAATTTTGAGTATATATCTATACTAAATAAAAAATCGGGCCAAACGAAGCCCCTCTAAAACTTACTAAAACAATGCTATATAAACAACGTAACAGTTCTCCCAACAATTGTGATTAAAATTTTACAATAGCGACACACAACACACATCACTAAACCCAGCATCCTTCGCTAGCTACATAAGTCAATCCATAACAGCCTCGTTGACTGTCAAGACTGTCTTCAGGAGTGTCCTGAATCGTGTTACTTGTCAGGATATGTGTTTTGCAAGTGGAAATAAACAGGAGAAAAAACATTGTATGACATTTAAAGTTAGCACAAATGGGTCGAATTGTATATGCTATCCTGCCATCTCCTGGCCACCTCGCAGCACAGCAGAAGTTTTGTTGAGTCGCATCCATGGTGACCTATGCGTGATCCATTAACCCTGCTGGGTTACAGGCATGTGCCACCATGATTTGTTCACCATGAAGTATATGGAACATTTTCAAGTATTGATTCCCATCACATTGTAATATTTATGTTGGTTATTTGATATCCAATGCATGCAAGGCTTTTAATAGTCATCGGATGATGTGATCAGGGAGCTCACCACTGAGCCAGTTCACACAGAATCAATGCTACTGTTTTCATCAGGAAATTGCCAATCTTCATAGGACAAGCACAGCTGACTTCTCAGCCAGTGGTACGCATTTATCAATCCTAGAAGGATAATCATTAGCTGAACCAACCCTTCACCAGAATTTGAACTTTCAACCTTCCAATTGTGAGATGGGTGATCAATCCACATGCCACCAGCTATAGCTCTCTCTTATTGTGTGCACTATAATGTGTGATTTTCTAAGTTACTGTTCATATACTTAAGAACGTAATCATATATGTCAGACGTATTTGTGTGAATTTTTTTCTTTAACTGTTTAACAAGCATAATCCAATGTTAAAATGTACGCGATCTAACCCAAAAAAATCTGTATTATGGATATTGGTCGCGAAAGCCTACGTGTTAAACAGTATTTTGGATAATCCAATGTTTTCTCAGAATTTCTCTGGTAGAGATATTCACATTACTATCCCATTGACCTTTGACCATTTATCTGCAAAATCTCAGAAAAAAAACCATACTGTGTCATAATGAATTAACAATTTTTGCCAAATCACCATCTGGCTATTAATACAAAGGTCAATGGTAAATTATTACATGCAACTGTGTTGATACACAATGCACATCTATTCCCGTGATTGGGACCAATGTACCAAATTTTATCCATGATGCGTATGTACACAGGGCACCGCCAGCTTGACCTTCACCCTCTCCTACAAATCGAGTGTTCTCAATGAGTGGACGACAACGCCGCTCGCTCTTGCCGGCCTTTTGCCGCACAGCGTCTCGTCCAATCTGGACAGTCTGGACCGGCGGCCCAGTATGAGCAGCGTAGCGAGCTCGTCCTCGGATGGCAGTTCTATCGCGTCAACCACAAGTGATGCCGTGGAGGTTTTCCGGGGGGTGCCGAAGCGCAGCTACAGCCATTCCGAGCGACTAGGCACGGGGCCCGGGCAGGGACGGCATGGGGGGATAACAGGCAACGTTGGTGGGAACATTACAGCGGTAGCAACGACGCCGCAGGAGAATCAGCAGCACCCGGAACAGTACAGCTGGCAAGGAGGAACGCAAGAGTCGTTGGTAATGCAGGGTACGTTGCTCGCACCCGCGAATGTGACGGTGGATGGGATGGATCGCACCCAATCGACCCACAATGATACCTTAAAGTTTAGTATTGATTGCGAAGTGAAAGGGGTTGGCGCTGCTTTGAGCAGTGCTACTGACGCAAATGGATTCGGCCCATGCAGCAACCTTCCTAAAGAAAGTGCCTCTCTTGGAATGAGATGTGGGGTTGCCCCGAGTCTCTCGGCAAAGTTAAGTCTCCTTTCGTCTGGTTTGGAGTGCAAGAAGAGTCTGCCTCCTGATGACATGACAGGATCGTCTTGCAGCACACCCCTCACTGATGGTGTCAACAGCCACGCCAGCCCAGCATCAAGCGAAACTCCATCCGACGAGGTCAGCCCGGCTTTAGAGGCGATGGAGGATCCATTCACGTTGAATGTGCGGCTCGTCACTAATGCCAACTCTACTGCCAATATGAATGCCGGTCCCCTTAACTTGCATGCCATGTGCCCATCGGATGGAGTGAGAGGGGCTTCCGCCTCTTTGAACGGTGCACTCCTACGAATGCCCGGTATCGCCGCAGCACCCTTGGGACTCTCAGCAGTGGACGATGATGAGGTCACTCCGGAAACTCCCTCGAGGGTAGATGACGCCATAAACAGGAGAAAAAGCAGCGGGCGAGATCTCTTCGGCTCGGAGGAGGACATTTACACGCAGAGCACAGGCGGGAGGGAGGCGACATCCGAGACAGGCGGCTCTTTGCACCCTGTTGTGGGACGACAGGAGCGCGCTGCCTCCAGCGCCTACCCCAACACAGAGCACGCAAGCATGAGCTCATCTGCCCCTTGCTCGTCGCTCAGCAACATTGTGGTGGTGCACAAGAGGAAAACAGGCAAGTGCTTTTAACGTGGCGTTCATTCCTTTTTTTTTGCTAAGTAGTGGGGTTTTGTTTATATATGCGTGCACGGAACTGGATAATTGATGTGCAGCGTTGTGGGATACAATTGCGTGAATGACGCTATGTAGCATGAAATTATTATTGTTATCGAGTTACTGGTGTCTGTTTTGATAAAAAAAAGCCCTTGCTTATGCTTGTATTGGTGTTAAAAAAAATGTTGTGCACATGCATGGGCGTGTTTACGGACAGTTAACGTGATTATGTATTCCCTTGCTTGTGGTTGTATTGGTGCTAAATATGTTTTTGTGCACACGCATGGTCGTGTTTATTTGGATATGAATAGGACACAATAGTGACCACCCCTTCCCATTCTATCTTGCACACTATTTTCATTAATAATTGGAATCAAGTGAAGCTCTTCTTGATATTGCCAACGTGAGTGATAAAAATAAGCAATGCTTCTCGACCATGCAGTAAGTGCATAACCTTGGATATGCAGGAAAAGGTATTGTAACAGAATTGAAATCCACTGCATGAATACTGTACTATACATGAATGAATGAAAGCCTTTTTATCTCACAGGAGAGCGCTTTGAGTCAGTCCTTTGAAGCCTGTGTATGTATATAAACTGACTCCCATATATGTTTACATCAAGTACACCATGTGTGCTATGCAGTACAGTGCTCATATATGCAAGTGTGTACGATTGTACAGCAGTGCGTATTATGGGTGAGCTCAATGACATCTCTTCATGAGAAATTTGACTTTGGTATGGTACATTGCTGTGTTATGGGTCTATTTGTAAACAACGAGTGTTTGAGAGTGGGTATGGCATGTGCGGATGTGTACAGTGCAGCAGGGGGTAGTGCATGTTGCCATCAGAGAAAAGGCAAATGCGCGCTGCTGTCATACCCATTACCGCACGAGACCATCTGCCAGCCCCACTACCCCTCCCTCCTCTCCATCACGCAGGTCACGCGGATCACAGTAGCCATGCATTCGCTCATGATCACTGCTGAAGGGCCAATTCGATCCACCGGAAGCAGTGGTTGAATGGTTGCGGGCTCCTGTTTTAACTCTTGAGGGTAGTGCGCTTTGAAGCATTTGGATGCTAATTGTTTCGTCAATTCTCTGTTTTTTTGAATGCACACGAACATTGGATCCCTCATTGTCTTCTGTGGTTCTGAGTCTGTGGTCAAAATTCCACGTTTTTAGTGGCAAAAACCAGTGTACCTATCGGACAACTTTTGTTGAAGTGTCACAAAGTGCCGCTTCCCACTTCATGATTGGCTGAATGAACCCATTATAATGAATGGTCTTCTGATTGGGTGTCAAGTGCAATAACTGTTGTACCATTCAGCTGGATACCATATCCTACATTGTGTATTTTTTTGGTAACCCCTACATTATCACATCCTACTCGGTGTAATACTATAGCAAGCATTCATTTAAATTGTCTCCATATGTAAACGAGTATTAGGCTCATATTCTTGGTTCTTTTGGTAAAGTCACGTAGAATATGAATCCCTGCAGTCACAAAAGCTTTAAATCAAAATTTAAGAGTATTAGGTTGTTGTGGCTTGCATCTTATTTTGGGGCAGCAGTAACATTGCAAGATCTTGTGTTTGGGAACCAGTCTCTTTACAGGACAACTTTAGACTTCCACAAAGGTACTTATTTGTAGATGCGGGAAAAGTAATGTGTTACATTTTCCCTTAACCAGGACTGGATCCTGCAACCTGCAACCTTTTGATAGGGAGTTGAGTTACAGCACCCCACTGAGCCTTCCTAGAGATGCTGGCAAAAAAAATGTGTGATGCTCAATGCCAACTTCACTAAATGATCATCTTTTGATTTAAAGCTTTCGTGACTGCAGTGATTCATATTCTTGGTTCTTTCGGTAAAGTCACGTTGAAGGGAAATAATAAAATATATATATAAAACAATAAAATTCTCACGACGTTTCGACTGTAACACAAAGAGTCATCATCACCTGATGATCACAAACAGTCATCACCTGATGATCAGGTGATGATGACTGTGTACAGTCGAAACGTGAGAATTTTAGTTATATATAATTATTTTATTGTTTCCCTTCAACGTGACTTTACCGAAAGAACCAAGAATATAAATGATCATCTTTAGGAAAAACTTAAATGACAGTGTGCAGTCTAGTTGGCATTTTGAGAGTAATGCATAGTGGCAAAAATATTACATAACACTTCAAGGGGTTATAATTGAGCACAGTGAATGCAGTGCTAAGTGTGTGTTACATTGTTATACTCCAAACAACAGACTTCAAACTTTCGTGACTGCAGGAATTCATATTCTTGGTTCTTTCTGTAAAGTCACGTAGATAGAAAACAAATCAAAATTAAAAGCAAAAAAACCCACGACGTTTCGATCGCAACACAAGCGGTCTTCTTCACCTGAAGAAGACCGCTTGTTTTCTATCTACGTGACTTTACCGAAAGAACCAAGAATATCCAAACAACAGCTTTAGAAAATAGAAAAAAAACAAGGATTGCAGATGTTATGATGCTCATTCTGTCTCATACTAGCTTGTTTGCCCATCCAAGGACGGGTGTATATTGCAGTAAATCTGAAATATTCAATAGAAAAATTGTTCAGCTCATGATTATTAATGAGGGGGGGGGGGGGGTTGTCCCATTTGGAGTGACGTCACCCCCTAATGGTTATTGGGGAGGGGTGCGGCATGTGGAGTGACGTCACCCGCTCATGATTATTAATGGCGGGGGGGGGGGCTCATGTGGAGTGACGTCACGTGCGGAACACAGCCTTTTTTGGCTCGTTATTAGTTTATGCGTTGATTTCTTTATTAGCTTTACTTTCCATAAAGAAAGGTCAAATTGAAAGGTAATTTGAGTAAAACATGTTTGTTTCCGCTCCACCTTCATGCGGAGTGACGTCACCCGTTCATGATTATTAATGACGGGGGGGGGGGGTTCCATGTGGAGGACCCCACCTGTTCATGATTATTAATGACGGGGGGCTGGTCGACGTGGAGTGATGTCACGCGCGTTACACACAGACATTCTTGGCTTATATTAGTGTTTCGATCTGTGTCCTAGGGTTCTCCAGCTTCAAGGGCAATTCCTAAACAGATAATTTGGCTACCATTCCAAATAGCAATGCATTTATCCAATCAGTTCATGAATGTTTTCACAAATTGGAAGTAGAAGCTGCAGAAGAAAATGCCCTTGGTGATTATGTATTTCGATTGTTATCCTCGTAATAAACAAAAACCCTCATTGTTAGGTCTAAGCATTTAAAAATGTATATACAGTGGTATCTCGGTATACGTTAATTCGTTCCAGAAGGTAGGAGGACTTATACCAAAAATGACGTCTATCAAACGAATTTTTCCCATAAGAATAAAGGGAAAGGAAATAATCCGTTCCAGAGTATAAGGAATGATATTTTATATGGCATATTATACATTAATGTGGTTGTATACAATAACTTAGACACTAATTATTACTAAAAATGCATACCTAAATTGAAATAAATGCATAAATAAATAAAAAATAAATTGAAATGAAAATACAATTTTACGTCACTTTACCTTGCTGAGAGGAGTTGATAGCCAACGAGGATGGTGGTGAGGCAGAGGAGGAGGAGATGTTATTTTTTGGAAGCAGAGTCCCCCTTCCATTAAAACTTCAGGAAGCTGAAATTCTCTGTTTTTTTCTTTCTCTTTTCTGTCTTTTTTCTTGACTTGGACCTGGTTGAAGCTCACCAGGTTTGAGTTTGACTAAAAACCTGTCCATTGAAGTTTGTTTTTGCCTTCTTCTAAGAATATTCCTGAAGTGTGACATTGTCTGGTCATTCCACACAATACTGTTACGGCTTGTTAGAGCCGTAACAGTATTGTGTACGCGAGTACTGTACGTGATGACTCATCCCGACCCAGACAAGTTCTAGCAAGCGAGGCGTCGTATCCCAAGCAAGACGTCGTATCCCAAGACATTTTTTTTATCGTCAAAACACGACGTATTCCAAAGCGGTCGTATACCGAGGTATGACTGTATGTCTATCTAACCCTCGTTCAGGTCCGTCAACGGAGTTTAGTTAAATAGATGCTTTGACTTTGGGTGCACTGTGATCTGGCCAGTTGGTGTTATGGCCAGTTAGTGTTATCGTCGGAATGCACGAGTCACAATCAGAAAATGGCGAGTTAAATTTGCAGTCGGGGGTCAATTCAGTCCGTCATTGTTCCCTGATCATAAAATTCCATTCATTTTGAGGGAAGTCAATGGTGGCTTTTCTCAGAAGATACTGACCAAGTAGTTTCTACGACTGGCTCAGGGCTCATAGTAAAGGTGATCGCCACCCAGTTTTTGCTTGCAGTGACATTTTTCAGTACATTATGCACATGGATGGATCCAAAGTATTCCTAACAAGATGAGTTTTGAATGCATAAAGTTATAATTCAATGAACACTCAGTATTATAATTCAATTATATTTACAAATTGCTCTCAATGTTCACATATCAAACACCTGATGCATTTTACATTTTGACCGTAATTACAATCCTGGGGCAATTCTGAAGATTTCGAAATACGTAATCACCAAGGGCATTTTGTTCTGCAGCTTCGACTTCCAATTTCTGAAAACATTAATGAACTGATCCGATAAATGCCCAGCCGGCCGAGGTGGCACCTTAATAGGCTGGGGTTTGGCTGCTACCCCCACTACCCGCTCTGCAGTAATATCTACGGCCTATAGTAGTGTATGTTTATAATGACGAATAAACTTCTTATGAGGCACACTCTGTTTATTATTGTCTTTCTTCTCTGACACAGTCCCTAACACACAAAGGGGTATACGGTCCCCTCACCCGATACCCTAAGAAGGTACAGCCTCCGGACTTAGCGTGACCTACACACAGGTCTCTTGCTAACCTAAGGAGGTACAGCCTCCTGTCTTGGTGGGACTTACTCTTGAGTCTACCGCTATCCTAAAGTCCTCCGGCTTGGACCTAGGGGAGGCTATCTGACCCACCGCTGGCCCGGCGGGTCTTGACCACTGGATGCGCTGAACCTTAGCCCTCAGAAGGGCTGGGAGGCTGGGTCCAGGGTCCTGTCTATCTTCAGCCCGGGCTTCGGTCTTCGTGTAGGGAGAGAACTCCCTGTGCTCTGCACGCTCACCCTTCTTATACCCGTTTGTGGCCAGGTCTAACCAATCCCACATTCACACGTGGAACTGTCTGCTTGGTTCTTACCAAACTGTGGCTACGATCCACTTCACCTCGTCTGACCCCAACCGTTACGTACACAGGTAACGCTGCACTGCCCCTTGATACTTAGTGGCGATGCAGGTTACCGAACAGTGAGTAGTTAGCACCTCTACAGTAGTAATATCTCCCGACTCTATAGTAGTAACTGCACGCATTGGGGTGGGGGTGGAGAAGAGGACATCACACTGTGAAGAATTTACCTCAGTATTTTGTGTATTTTATTGCATTTTAAACCCAAATAAGAATTCCCCCTCCACAGATGGCGCGTGTGCGTTGCTAGGGGCAACCCCCCGGTCAGCTTTGGCGCGCATGCGCGAATGCGTGCTTTGGCGCGCGGTGAGTGGCGTAAGAAAATAAATAAGTAATAACATTAAATGGTTAATTTAACTACTTTAAAGTTGACGGATGCGAAAATGAAATAGCGCTGGTTCACCACGGGGCTTATGGCGTGGTACCTGGCTACTTTTTTTAAACGTAAACCCCACAGTTTGCGAGCCAAATCCTTCACAAGTTTCGTACACAGACACAGACAGACAGAGAGACGGACAAAAAATTACATTTGAAGCAATTGGCGGGACCCCGGGGTCCCATCACTGCCCCGGGGTGGGAAATCGATTGGCCTCGTCGAGAGCTACTCGGGGCACTAAGTTTCGCAAAAAGTTGAAAAATTACATAAACACGTTAAATTCACTGCCTGGGGGGCGGGCTCGCCTTGGCAAAGAAGCTGAGGATCGACGGCTGACCGGAGGGCGTTGTCGCCGCGCGCGACTGCGGCGGACGCCCCCCAGGCTTGAGTTTGGCCGGTGGGGTGGCGCCCATCGTGTTGATCGCCACCTGCTGCTGGCGCTTGTTGGCACGAGTCTGGGCGGGCGGCGCGTTGCTGTCGGGATCACGAGTGGGCGGACTGAAAAATAATAATTATTGACCTGATTTTTGCGGGACCCCGGGGTCCCGCGAAATGATTCATTTATACATCAAAACATCTTGAGCCACTGTACATTACGGTGCGACATGGGCATTCTGGTGAAAGGTATGAAAGAGACTTGTCTAAATGTGTTTTCACCTAATGTATAAATAGAGGTCATTGCTTCATTGCATGGTATGCATCAATCCTTTTAAATACATGTGATTGTACTATAACTACATATCTCTAAAGTATATACATGGGTTTATATATGTGGCACTGTGGCAAGAATGGTTGACTGAAAATTGGGGGTTGACTCCGGCCCATCATTCTTTCGGGATCAAAAACAAACGGAATACAGCTTTGTTAGAATTCAACAGTGGTCGACCCATGGAAGGAATGTCCCCGAGCCATTTCGACCACTGGCTTAGAGTTGCTGCCAATGGAGTTGAGCACCATCCAATGTTCTTGGGTCTTTCAGTAAAGTCACGTAGATAGGTTAAAATAAAATAACAAAAAAACTACGACGTTTCAATCGCAACACGAGCAATCGTCATCAGGATGAATTCCTGCAGTCGCGAAAGCTTTAAGTCAAGATTTCACCATCCAATGTTCACTTGGAGCATGGACTTTTTGACCCTGAGTTCACGCAGACATTGCTGGTTGTAAATCAAATCTTGTTGCTACCACTGAGTAGCAGCACCACCACTGTGATTTTTTTTTTTAAAGTGCTTTTAAAATATCTCGATACAAGCTAGTTTAAAATCCAATGCTTGATTATATTAGCAGGATAAGATCTCCATTGTGAGCATGAAATTTTAATATTAACAATTAGGGAAACATTTTCAGCATAAATGTTTTAAGTATAGTAATATGAATGAATAGCATGCCATGGTTTGGTCATTTACATACCTTTGAAGTTGTACATTTCACTTACGTTTTGCTGAGCTGTAGATATAATGCGTTTAAAGTCTACCTCCTGTTTAAGTGCACAACCTTAATTAGATGCTATTACTCTGTCAGCGTATGCCTTGGAAATTAACCATAACCCATACATCACTTTCATTGTTAATACATTTCTCTGCCTCATAGTGCCACTTTATCGCATGCTCTAACATAAACCATATTGACTGGACTTTGTGCCCATAAGCAACCTCGCTGATTTAAAGGCGGTTGGAAAGGGAATATGTACATGCTAATTGAGTGATGAATGTGGAATACGATAGGCCATTTAGATGCTGTTATAAAGACAGATTGCCCCCACGCATTTTATGCTATGAACTATCAGAGTGACCAAGAGTTGGTTCCTAACAACTGTGTGGGTTTATTTGTAATTGTATCGTTATTCATGTTAAGTTGACAGACCCGAGTGTTACGGTAAATGGTCTTAATGTAAGATGGCAATCTAAAAGCCATTGAGAAGCTGAAAATGGAACTAGTGCATGAAGTACAGCACAGTTTTTTTTATTACAAAACTATTAACACAGCTGATTTATTATCTGACATCAGTGGTAAATGTTGAAAATAGACCCATTTCCAGCATTATAAAAATCGTGTAATGCTTAATTAACAGTTTTTGTCATGCAGGCACGATTAGCACGATTGGCTATGTTGGGTGCAAAAGAAGGTCAACATACATACATACATTCGTTTTGGCTTGTTTTTTGTCAATCTAAAATGTGCAAACAACACGCTTATTAGTCCATATGGATTAATAAGTGCCATAATTTAGGATCTGCTACGATTAATGTAAATAAAATGCATGTGCAAAGGCATTGGAAGTCTTTCAAATGCCTTTACTGATTATTATATTGCAACAAAAGTGCAATCGGCATTCAGTGTGCTTTATATTGGGTTAACTAAAAAAAACAGGAATGTTTTGGTATGGGGAGGAGTTTGGCTTTTGAATGACAAAAGTTTGTAAATTATACATTTTTACGAAATATAATCAACAGCATTGCAGGCCACATAGGCCTGGCTGGTGTATGCCTGTAAACAAATACTTCAGCAGGCAGGAACTGGTGAATCGCTTACATTTCATTCTCAAACCTGCAGTGCTGCGACGGAGCCAGTAGATGGCAGTATACTAAATGGGTTTGTTGTGTAGACATTTTACCTGTTATGTCTTACGCGTGGATTTTACCCATTTACTCGGGTTTCCTCTCACAAGCAAGGCTCTCATATATAATAGGCCAAACATCCCAATGTAAAAGGCCCTTATTACTGGAGGCTTTTCGAGATAAAAAAAAGATTAATACGGTAAAGTGGGAGTCCTGCAATTGCATGCTCATGCCACTGCTGGCAGAAGGGCCCCCGACTAAAGAACCCATTTGGAGGGTGTTGGCCTACCCACACATTACCGCACCAAATGCAAGCTGCCAATCATCTAACCGTGGTGGACATATACTGCTGGGTGGATTCATGTATTTATCAACTTGGAAATTTTCAACTTCCACTGTAGTCACGTAGAATGGAAACAAAATAATTATTGTATTTCCCTTCTACGTGACTTTACCGAAAGAACCAAGAAGATGAATCCCTGCAGTCACGAAAGCTTTAAATCGAAAAAATTCCACTAGTGTAATGAAATGGCTTGCCCCTGGATTGTAAGTCCAGTGTGATGATTAAAATACCAAGGCGGCATCCCAATATACTTAGTCCTATTACTGTATAAACACTTGATTACATTCATGAATGTCTCTAAGCCACATTGTCTTGGTTGCATCATCAAAAGTGAATCTAAAATTAATTCTACGAAAGTGATCTGAAAAAAAACTATCTCTCAATCTCAGGGAACGGTTTCAAGTCACTGATCCTAAAAAGTGGTCTTTGTGCTCCAAACAAGCTTAAGCAAGCTCAGGGAATTCCGATAGTGTTTTTCCCCAAGTATAATACTGGCAAGATGTGACACTCTTCTTTCATTTAGGGGGTGCAATTATGAAGTCGTGCTATATACTCTGGAACTGACACCAACAGTACCATTACTAAAAGCAGACCAACATTGTTAAAAAAATCGACAGAATGGTCTGATTTGAGCTAATGATTGAGTTCAATGGCGCAGCCAGATTAAGTACCTTCGGTGGCTCGGTAATGAATCGTGTTAATGCTGCTGGATTTGAACCATATCACATATCCAGAGTACCGGCAATGAAAAATACAATCTGTTTACGCAGACGTCCTTACAAAAAACGAGTGTGCTTCTATTAACCTACGAGTCGAGCATTGACTCTTTTAACACCAACATTACCTTCCGTTGCCACCCCCTCAGGCGTCTACAACCCATTTCAAAACATCCTGAAGATGGGCAACCTGGAGAAGCGGACGGGCACCATATTGCTGTGGAAGGAGTACCACTGTGTGCTGGCACCCATGTCCCTGCAGCTCTTCAACCCAGGCTCAGAGGTGCACGGCAAGCCCAAAGAGGTCTACATGGTCGCTCATTGCCAGGCGAGTTCACCTCTTGCCAGAGCTAAAGTCGCGCACCAAGACGCGCAGAGACAGAGGTCCCAGATTTTAGATGCTGGAACATAGGGTAAATTATGTTGTGGATCTTGCAGTGTTATTATCAGTTTCAAAAGTGTTCACTGGGCACTCTTATTTCCATTCCCCTTCACGTCTCATCAAGAATAGGTTGAAGCAGATATGGTAGTACATACAAATAATTCACACGTGTAATTCAGGGTTAGAGGATTACGAATGTTTATAGAATTATCAAACCCGATGAGCTGCAAGGTGGCCAGAAGAAGGAAGTGCCGAAAATGTGTTTTTAACGACATTTTTATGGACATTTAATCTAACCCATCCTATATGTGGATATTTAAATAGTGGCTCCATGTCCTTGCAATGTCCCATCAATTATGCATCATGTGCAGTTGTACTTCATAAAATCACTGGTGAGTTTACCATAAGTTTAATCAGCATGTTATTATTGTTTTTTTTTAATGTATACAATAAGCTTATCTCCACTTCCACCTAGTACGGCTTGTATGCTCATAATCAATGTTGATAGCATTGAGCGATTGCTTAGCGGGCACCTACAATGGTTAGTAAGGTACATTTAGAGGGTGGTGTGGCCAGCATCATTATATAGTGCATGGCTTGGAATTGAACCGAGGTTGCTGGGATTATAGTTCATTGCACTAATCATTGTACCAGATATCTCCACAAACACACACACTGACGGCACATGCACGCGTACACACATTGGCTTGTTCGGCATTTATATAGGCAGTGGTGCTGCAGGCTTTAGATAGCTTGTCATTGCTAGGAACATGTAACGTAAGTGTTAATGCGAGTGAAAAAGGGCAGTGCTTATTTCCGTTGGCATCTCTTTACCAGTGGAAGAAAAGCCAAACTCGTGCAACGATGTGAAAACGAAACGCAATATTTTAACAATCTATGTATTGTAAGCATGGCACAATAGATTTACAAGGAATGATCTGTCAACGATGGACAATGTGTTGTGCTGTGCAGGGCGTGATTAGAGGCGGCAGTAGCAACCTCTTCCAGGTCGGAGGTGGCAACCGCTGTTGCCTGGAGCTCACCTACTCGGGCACCCGCATACACCTGCGTGCGCCCTCAGAAGAGCAGGCCGACGACTGGGTTGAACGGCTGCAGGAGGCCATCACCGCCATGCAGTTCTTGCCAGCCGATGATAACGACACAACAATCCAAGGGCCACAAAATCACTGCACATCTGGACCACCACACCCAGAGCCCACGGTTGATGAAAGCTGCCTGGTACAGCCACTGCTGCACGGTGTGCTAAAGGTACAGCAGATACAGCAAGAGGAGACAGCAGGCACGGCGCAGGCATGGAAGTCATTTTACTTCACGCTGGACAAGGACACACTGTGCCGCTATGCCATGAGCGATCGCAACGGCGCCCCTGTCCGCACACACGGAACTCGCGAGCTACGAGACGTGGAGAGAAAGCGGGGTGCGCCACGCAGATTCAGCATTGTGTTGGGCGGTGACACCCTGCACCTGCGTGCCGTCAGTGAGATGGAGGCACGCCTGTGGGTTCACATGCTCAGACGCGTTCAGGGGCAGCAGACAGGGTCAGGGGAGCATGGCTGCAAGAGTCCAGAGCGAGCATGGGGGCGGAACGGTGAGGGTGAGGAAGAGGGCGCCACTATCACCAGCTCCTTCCTCAACCTGCTCACCGAGCTGCCCGCGGAGAAAGGCCTGGATGCACAGAACTGCAAGTGTGCTGGTGAGATGCATGTGGCAGATGCGATGGCACTTTTAAGATTTTATTTACTTCTCTCAAGTAGAACTCGTGACAGTATGGTAGTTGAACTGTGCTGAAATGATCCAAAATCTAGGTGAAAGTTGCATTGTGTTCGCATGTTGGGCTATGCTGGAATGCTGATCTTTAATAGGAAGTCTGACTTCAAGAGATTTTATTTTTACATTTTTTTACACCAGAATGTCTGACTGCTGAAAAGAGCAGTGGTGTGGTATTAATGTGGAATTTCCACATTTATCTGTTGGGATCAGCTAGGACCCTGAGATGACCACTTGATTGCATAATGTGGTACCCAGATTTGTTGACCCTGGAGGTTTTTTTTAGACCAATTCAAGTCCCATTTGGGATTCAAAATCTCGGCACCCGACCACATGATTCCTTAGAAGGCAAGATGGTGCTCTGGCAGAGGACAACTAATGCGCAATTTGAAGGTCGCACGTTCAAATAAAATGTGAGTTGATTCAGTCCCTCATCTCTATGTTCAATGTCATTAGATCCATTGTGTGGGAAGCCAATAGTAGTTATCTTACAGATGGAATGACCCACCAGAGGAATGTGGAATCGTCACCCATGGCTCAGGACCACCAATGTAGGTGTGGCTGCCCCTTTGCGTATTTGATCAAGGAGACACTTTAATTCGTGTTTTTTTAAGCACACAGATTGGCATTTATGGTTAGAATGAAGTCCATCCAAAATTGAGTGTAGGTTAGTATCATTAATCTGGTCACATTTGCCATGTAAAGTTATATGATTGTACATTGTGGATGAATCTGAAGGCAAGAATGATATTTGCAAGTATAATATGAGGTAGCAGTGTCATGTCTAAACACTTGGAATAATGTTTCCATGGTTGCTTGACCACCACGGAGCTATATGGGTCTGACGTTTTGAGGCTCTGTAGCTACGCTGTGAGTTTACACTCCAACAGAGGGCAGTGTTGTGTTAATGCTGTCTGGCCCCAACTCTTCCTAATCAGCTTGCATTCATTTATATCCTTTGGCTATGTAAAACAAATTAATTATCAGAATATATTAAAGTTTTTCGGAGAGTTGTTTTGAGTTAGTAACAGGGAGTTGATCAAAGCTTGTATGTGTATTCGTATGCATTTTCGTGTAGGGCTTAATACAGGCACGTGCCAATTCACTTTAGAGATTCGATGAATCGTCACAATTTAGGTTTGTAATTTAAAAAAATGTTTACAGTATAATTAGTTATCATATTTTGTACATTCGCCTGAATGCAAACTTAGCTTATAGCTTGCATAGTTTGCAAACATTGTACAGTATATCTTTCTTATACACATCTTTTGATGCATGTATTGCCAGCTTAATCAATTTTGCACTGATGCATCGCTCCAGGTCTCGTTAATGTGAAACTAGAGATGCAATTTGATTACCAATTAAGAATCTAGATTTGAAGTTTTCGTGACTGCAGGGATCCATACTCTTTGGTTCTTTCGGTAAAGTCACGTAGGTAGAAAATAAAATTAATTAAATCACGACGTCTCAAAAAAAAATTTTCCTGCTGTGGTTTTCCCACCTGCTGATGATTGCTTGTGTTGCAATCGAAACGTCGTGATTTATTTTATACCTACGTGACTTTACCGAAAGTACCAATTAAGAGTTTACAGTGAAGTGAGGTTTACAAATTAATTGAATTTAAAATTTATGCTATCGAGTGCAAATATGCCTTTCAGATTACCCACCTTATAAACACAACGTTGTTATGTCACTTTAGTTGGAGGAATGGATGCAATCTTAGTAGTGTACTCTAAGGTAATTAGATTACAGTTGAACGTCGATTATCCGGCACCACGAGATTTATCTGGCTGCATCCAACATTGTCCGGCGGTCCCGGGCCGATCCGGCGAAACCTGCAGAATCGCTGTAACTCAGTCTGGCTATTGGCACCATGAGCATGACAAAAACAAGTAGCTATGCTTGATTTCAGTGTTCAATATTATATACGGTACATTATGCACTACATACAACTTAAACAATGAAAATACTGCACCCCATGCAGAGTCTTCGATATTGGAGTGGTAAGTACGGTGCAGTAAATACAGTACATTTTACAGTAGGATGTTTATTTTTGGCTATTTGTATGTTTAGGTATGCCAATTTCATATCGTAAACAAATTTCAAACACAAACAAAACCTGAAAGCATAATGTCATGCAAAAATGTGGCAAAAGAAGCTATTTTAAATAATGATGTGATTATCCGGCATTTTTTAAAATCCGGTGCCCTCTTCCCCACCGAAATCACCAGGTAATCAATGATCTGTAGTTTAATACTGGTAGGAAACGTGGTGGACTGGAAGCCCAACCGGGATTAATTCACAGGAGGCAGGGGATTAATTGTGTATGTCTGTGGATGTCTGTCCACGTGTATGCGGACACCCGGATAAAATGGGAGGGGTGGGGCTGGGTGGAGAGGGGTGGGTGGGGAGGGGCTGGGTGGGGAGGGGAGGGTGGGGAGGGGCTGGGTGGGGAGGGGAGGGTGGGGAGGGGCTGGGTGGGGAGGGGCTGGGTGGGAGGGGTGGGGCTGGGAGGGGAGGGTGGGGAGGGGCTGGTCACCCCGTGGTGCCCTTATAAAACTCAACGTTTAACCTACTCACGCCGGCTTGTGCCCGCCCTCACAGTCCGGCATATTTGCGGAATACACCACGCCGCCGTTGACCCTGGCCATTGACCGAGCAACCCAACGTTCCTGCCAGCTCCCTCCGCAGGAATGTGTTACCCCATGTAAATGTGGTCACAAAGATATTTTCGCAAACCATTAGCAGGATTTCTCATTTATAAACAAAATAGAAGCACTGAATTTATTTCTACATTGTGTGACTTGGTCGTGATGTGGTTAAAGCACCTGTCTCATCATCTTCATTTGAGGAATTCTTCAGCCCATCATTGTTCCAGAATGAATGAAGTGAGTACTGTATTACTTTATGGCAGTGAGCAGTGGTTGTCCTATGGTGCGACTGGCTTCCACCATAGGAAAGTTGAATATCCACCACTGCCTCAAGACCACCAACAGAGATGAGCAACCGCCCCATGTACATTCAAGCACGGGAAATCTTTATTTTATTGTGATTATAAAAATTATATCTATCTTTAAAACCGGTGCAAAAATCGTCAGTCTGAGATGTTATCCACAAATCAAAACCCTAAAATGTGCAGACCTTGTTGCTTGTTCAGATCCTGCAGATTCCAAATGACTTTGTACGGTTTTCCAATGACTGCAGATATTGTTCTGCTTTTACCGTAATCCCTCGAGGGAGGATGGGGAGAGTGGAGGAGATGGGCTGGTGATCATAGGAACACATCACCTGGCCTTTGTGCGCATGTGCTGTTTCTTGCAATACTCTCAGCCGACAGTTGCATGCATTGGTGTGTATTCTGCTCATTCATAGATCATTTGTCTGTCAATTTCAGTCCAGCAAAGTTTTGTAATTCTGTGGGATGACTGGGTGACTCAGAGGGCTCATATTGCCCTTGTCAGAGGTGGCCGAATGTTTAAGACACCTGTGATTACATCTCTTGTTAAACGTTGACTTTTTCTCTTACTCAAACCTGGTTACGGAATACCTCTTACCAGTGTCTGCCTCAAAACTCTCACTAATTGGCTTCATAAACCCTTAACCTGAATGACCACCCATGCAAGGTGTCTGTTGGTTCAGTAACTCCACAAAGCTTTATTTTATTCCATTTATCAGTGGGTACAGATCTGCCTGCTTTCCTTGTCTTTCGCTCTGCCCTTTTCAATCCGTTAAGGCTTTGGTGCTGCCACTGCTGTTGGTATTTGCCTGTAGGTAATTGCACAGCCCTGCCAGATCCAACTTTTTCTTTGTTGATGTTTGCTTCGCCTGCTCACCACTTTTCTCACTGGCCAGATTAGCAATTCATATAATAATTGGCTTGCAACTGTTTGGGTGTGTGTTATCGCCAGTAATACTTGGAAAAACAAGTGGGCAGAAAATAAAAAAGTGGGGAAAAGAGCAGAGAGAATTATGCATTAGCCAGCTGAACTATAGGGGTTGGCCCCGATCTGTACCTCTTCAAAGGGGCTGCTTTCCTTACTTAATATGAATGGTAAACTCTTTTGCCATGTAGTGTATAAGGCTATGTCAAAAAGAAATATATTTTCTTTTGACTGCCATTTTTAAGCATACTATTGGAAACTTCTTGGCAGGCAAAGTGCATTGTCAGCACTTTGAGCTGACAATAAACGTCTGCTCCTCACCAATCACACGGTGGCCGAACATGGGGCAAGAGCGGACTTAGCCAGGGGGTGTGAAGCCTCGTGTAATGTGTGGGCCGCAGGGCTGTGGGGTTTTGTCCACAAATGAGAGAGGCTGTTTAAGATTTCACAGCACCTGTAACCCTATTCATGCGAGTGTTTGTGTTTTCGTGATCCCTTGGAACATTATCCATATCTGATAAGTGTAGTGCCGGGACAGTACAATGCGCTGAGAATAACATTTTACATGCGTGCACGCAATGTATTCAGGGCTGACATAAAATAGCCTGGGATATCCTATTTTAAACGCAGTGTTAAAATTAGACAAAAAACGTAATGCATTGTCATGCACACATCACAAATAAACAAAAACCCTACCACGATCGCTATTAACACTGCTTTACAGTTCGGCATAATAGGAAATTGCCCTTCTCTTCTATAAATGGAAGCCTACGTTATTATTTCATATGACAATGTTAGGGATTCAATTGGTAAGTTTCTTATTTGTTAATATTATATGGGGTGTTGCACCATACTCGTATTTCAGCACTTTGGGGGAAAGGACCGGTGGACCACATGCAAACGTTTTTAAAGTTGTGGGGGAGATTTGTCATGATGACCCATATCAAGCAGCTGGGGCGGCGGGGGGGGGGCTCGTAAACAGCATATGGCTTTTCATCCTGTTGAACAAACTCATCATATGCGGTAGAAGCATCTTCAGAAATGT